TGGAGTCAAGGATTCTGAAGCTTCGTCTGACATATTTTGGGCATGTTGCAAGGAGGGACTGGTCCTTGGAGAGGGACATCATGTTTGGCAGAGTGGAGGGATGGCGAAGGAGAGGAAGACCTTTGATGAGATGGCTCGATTCTGTGACTAGAGAGGTGGGAATAAGTGCTTTTGAGATGGTTAGGTTGGCACAGGATAGAAGAGCGGGTCGCTATGAGTCACAAGCAACTCGATGGCACATAACAACAACAAACAACCATTTAAAGTTTCAGGATGCTCCTAGGCTGACTTGTAGAAGCAGGTTTGGGCGGACAGTGACGGATGCAGGGGCAGCTCTGGCTGGCAATCGGCAGACTAGGCCGCGGATGGATTTGATTCCCGTTGCTCTTGACCTGTGTCACGGACGCCCGTCTTCATTTCTTCTCCTGACAGTTTTCCTAGAGTGTTGAGAGGCCCAGTATTGACCCTACTGTCTCTCACTTCTGTTACAAAGTCCCATCTCTCCATGGTCTGACCTCCTCTCTGTGCTCTTGGCTGGCGTAAGCCTTCATCCTAAGATGCCTCCTTGTTCATCTTTCTCTGTGCCCACAGCAGCCAGTGTGTGACCCCGCCCGCTTTGGCTTCCACCTTCTGGAAGGGTGAGCTGAGTGAGCAGCGCTCTTGCCTTGAATGGATGATACAATTCCAATAACTGAGAGGAAGACCCTCAACCAGGTGGATCGACACAGTGTCTGAGCAGTGTGCTTGAGGGTGTGGGAGATTGTGAGGCTGGCGCAGGACAGGACTGTTCAGGTCTGTTGTTGATTGGGTCTCTGTGAGGCGTACTCATCTTTGATGGCACCTAACATCAACGAGGGGAAGGAGATGCCCACGACTCCATCTATCCCACTGAGGCAAGGCGAGCTCCTTGCCTCCCCAGCCTCCTCTCTCTCTCTCCTCTGCTTCTCCAGCTCCGCTCACATTCTCTTCCCTGCTGTTACCTCATACCCTTACCTTCTCCTGTCTGTGATTTGCTCACTCCCTCAGGCTTCTGCTCAGATGACTTTGAGCCTTGGTGGCACAGTAGTCAAGGTAACTAACTGAAACACTGTTGGTTTAAACCCACCGGTTGGTCAGGAGGAGAAAGATAGGACAGCCTCCTATACAGAAACAGTGGGAACCTGGGTAGGGGCGGCTGCACTCTGCCCTACAGGCTTGCTTTGAGTCGGAAGTGATGTGGTGACAGTGTTTATTTCCTGGACTGCCGCATCTGAATGCAGCGAGTTTATTTCCTGCACTGCTGCATCTGAACGCACTGTGGAATCACTCCCCTCTCTTGCTCGCTGCCTCCTGACCTTGGTTTCTCCTTAAGAACATTGACTGTCTTTGTTTCATTCTCTTCTGAATGGCCAGCCAGTTGTTACCGTACTTGGATTTGTGGTGACCCCCAGTAGTTCGGAACAATGCTCCATGGGCTTTCTTAAACTTCTCCTGTGATTTGAGTGTAAGTTCACACAGAGCTGACCGCCTTTCCATCCCAGCATTCATATGTGCTCTATTTTGTGAAATGGACCACGATTCCGGCTCTGCCTGCATCACAGCAGTACGCAGCCGTCCCGTGGATGGTCCTGGCTGTGCATACAGTGTCCCGACTGGGACTGAACCCCGATATCCCACACGGATGGCGGCAGCTCTTCCGCTGAGCCACCATTCCCCCCCCCCCCAACTGACCCATGCCCATGTAGGACTTGGGTGCTGATGACAGCGTCGTCTTCTCCACAGAGACTGACTGACCACCATCATGGAGGAAGCAGAGGTGGAGAGTCTGCTGAACCCCAGCTGTAAGATCATGACCTTCAGGCCCACCATGGAGGAGTTCAAGGACTTCAACAAATACCTTGTGTACATGGAGTCGAAAGGCGCCCACCGGGCGGGCCTGGCCAAGGTAATTAAACTGAAAAAATGATCACTTGAGCTCAAAAGCGTTCTCTTTGGCTTTTCTGATATAGAAAATGATCTTTTCCAAAATGCACCCACGTGTGTCAAGTCACAGCTGACTCATAGCTGACCCTTGGGCAGGTTTTCAGAGGCTGTAACTGGCACCGGAAGAGATAGCTCATCTTTCTTCCTCGGAGCTGCGGGTGGCTTTGAACCACTGCAGTGGTGCCCCCCGAGGCCTGCACCAACACAGCTCTCTCCCTCTTTTCATGACTACACACAGCACGTAGAGCTTTAGCGAGCAGTCATTGAAGGCTAGACTTCTTTGGATTGAGGGGAGAGATGTGATCTATGATCCTTTAGCAGAATTCTCTTACGGAGTGGCATGAGCGTCCACATAATGGCTCACGGTGAATTCTGGTATTACACTTGGCAGTTATGAGGTAACTACTTAGTAAGCCTGTCAAGCCATTAAGGATATTCCTTTAAAATGATTGATTATTTTCTCACTGTTTTAAATGTAAATATTGCCACATTAAGACCAAAAAAGGGAGTTCTTGTGGCCTCGTGGTCAGGAGCTGCGCTGCTGGCCTAACATCAGATGCTTCTAATCCACCAGCTGCGCAAAGGAAGGGAAGAAGGACTGTCTCCTCGCGCGGGATTACAGCCACAGAAAACCTGCTGGAGGGTCACCCGTGAGTCAGTTCTGACAGGACAGCACCTAACAACAGCTACGGCCAAGATAGGAATCAGGTGGAATCAAAATTTAATGACAGTAAAAAGGAAGAAAGATTAATTTCCTGGCATTGTGAATGAGATCATGAAGTACAACTTTTTTTAAGTCTTTAGGCATCGGCGTATTATTTTACTTTTGCATGTGTATCAGGTTTATCTTTAAAAATGGGATGGTAATCGTTCCAACTTCTTAGAGAGCGTCAGAGCGGAACGCATGCATTAACCCTAGTGCACGTGATGGGTGCCACAGATGCGCTTTAGATGATCATGCCGCGGGCGGGGGTCTGGGAGGATGCCAGTTTTCAGTATTTGAGTCTTTGTGGTTCCCTTTACGCCTCTGTCACGGAGATGCTGAGAAGTCTTCCTCACTTGCGATCTGCTGGAATGTGAAAGCTGGATCAACCACCTGGAATGTTCTCAGGGTAACATTTTAAGACATGGGTTTATTTGCAGGTGATTCCCCCAGAAGGCTGGACACCCAGGAAGTCCTACCATGACATCGATGATCTGCTGATCCCAGCTCCGATCCAGCAGATGGTGACCGGGCAGTCGGGGCTTTTCACTCAGTACAACATCCAGAAGAAGGCCATGACCGTGCGGGAGTTCCGGGACCTGGCCAACAGTAGCAAGTGCGTGATGTGGCCTGGGGGTTTCCCTTTCTTGCTAAGTTGGGTGGGAACTTGGTAAGAAACCAGGTTGACAGAAGAATTTCACTGTTTCTGTTTGCTTGTTCTTTGGATGGTTGCCCTGTTTACATCTAGTTCACTGTCAGTGACATTGTTCCTCATTTTATGAGATCTCTTTCATAATGCCTATAAAAGAATCTCTCTCTTTTCATTGGCGTGAAAGTTTGTTGTTGTTTTTTAAATACATGGCAGTTTTTAGGAGCTCTGGTGGCCTAGTTGTAATAAGCTGTGTTGCAGTTTCAAAGGAACATGGTTTGAATCCACCATCAGTTCTGTGGGAGAAGGATGGGCAGTCTCTTCCCATGACATTAAACTGCCTCTGAAAACCCGCTGGAAGGTCAGCTGTGAGCCAGTTCTGATTCAAAGGCACATAGCATCCACCAGATGCTCCGCGGGAGAAAGAGGGGCCATCTCCTCCTGTGCCAGTTGGGTCCAGTTCAATGGTAAACCCCGCCCCAGACACACCACACAACGAGGCAGTTTTTTTTTTATCTCATTGTGGCAATATTCAATTTTAAAATTACGGGAAAAGGGCTTGGATCAGGCGACAGCAAGGTTGTATCGCTCAGCCATGGCCAAAATCAAGGCTCAGGACCTTCGC